TGTCTGTCTGTCTGTCTGTCTCCTAAAGAGTTTAAATAGTTTCTAAGGTCAAGGTCACTGTTACTAAAATTATATCATCTTTATCTCGAAATCCAAATTCTCATTGAACTTTAACACAGTGATACATGTACAGTAGGATATGTAGATGTCAAGTTTGGGTTCTAAGGTCAAGGTTACAGTTAAGGTAACGTCAAATGTAAACATTGAAAACAGTACCTGTCTTGAAGTCATTTTAATTTTTTCCCGAATCATTGACAAAATGCGATTTTATTATTAATCTATAATCAGAACAAGAAATGAGGCTGGAGAACAAACTCCATGCTTGAACATGAGAACGGTTACATGGATACGGACCTTGTTTGTTTTCAGTAGGAGCAGTCTTGTATGCCTTCTGACATTTGAATGCCTTATTGGTTCCCTTAATGACTTCGAGAATTTTTAAAACTCATTAGAAATGGAATGGGGAAATCAGTATTTATTTGAATCTACATTGTGTTCAATTTATATGTAAGTTTCCAAGCAAGTGTGGTGGATTATTAGAAACAACCAAAAATTGAATAGAATATATAATTAATCACCTAGTACATGAACTTGGAAATAAGTTAGTATGTGTAACGCTCGCTCCTGGTATAGGAGGTGTCGTGTTTGTATTGGGATGGAATTGTGGTTCGATAGAGAATAGACACAAGTTATAACGTTAACATATTTATTAACTCCAGCATATAAAGTTCATAGTAATCCATACATGGTTCACAACGCGGTTATTTATCTCCCGTAATCCATATGTTTCCTTTACAGTTCTTTCACACAACATCCACTTTCAGTCTCCGTTCTCCATACCACTAAAACTCTAAAACTAGCTAAACTACACGTCTACTACTCCTACTAATACGTAACTCTGCCCAATAGTAGTGCGTGCTTTGCGTTATATATCACCCCAGTACTTATATGTGCTAAAATTAGCTTACGCAACCATTGGTCAACGTGGTGATGATGTGATGCTGTGCACATGGACATTATTGATTTATTCTAAGCCTTGACCAGTACTTTAAGAAGTTACCTTACTTATCCACAGCATTAAGAAGTTACCTAACTTATCCACAGCATTAAGAAGTTACCTTACTTATCCACAGCATTAAGAAGTTACCTAACTTATCCACTGCAGTACCTTGGCCTCTTCTATATTTAGCGCTTCCCAAATAAATATCAATACTACTACTGTCCCTATTCTTCGGGTCATTACACTTGTAGGTAATAGGGGCACTGTGGAATGGAGGAGTCTATAAAGGAAGGGAGATTATTATAAGACATTTTCAAAATTCATGAACAGGGATTAATCTTGGTGTTTGAGGCAGGGGGTACCCAGTTAGTTATTATTAGAATAAAGGCAGTTATTTGAACAGTTTGGGTTATTTCTAAACATTTTTTTCAAGATGGTAAGTATGGATTATGTGAAGATCTTTTTACACAACCAATACAATTATCTATGTGACGTTTCAATGACTAGTACGATATGTACACTGTCGCCTTCATCAGACAAATGACCAGGGAAGCGTATGCACACAAAGGTGTAAAATGTGTTGTCTATAAAATCGATGTCGATAGCTGAATTGAGTCATTTCGGTAACAACTATTGTACATACGTTTCCAGCGTAGCTGAAATCGACATTGATTTTATGGACAACTCGTACACATTTTACACCTTTGTGTGCATACGCTTCACTGGTCATTTGTCTGATGAAGGTGACAGTGTAAAATGAAAATGTTATTGGTTGTGTAAAAAGAACTTCTCATAATCAGTTTAGGGTTAGTTTAAATTGCCATTTATGAAATAAGGTTTAAATAGCCTCAAGTCTACTGTTTATGACCAGCCTTAACTGTACAACTGTACATAAAACTGTCCTAATGTCTGTTCACTTACTGTGTTCACTGTCACCTAAGATACACAGAATAACTGCTGTTTAGAAATTTATTTCCAGTCACACTTCAGATGTTAAGAACTGAAGTATGTTATGTTTGATCATGGGAAAAGGTTGAGTGATTTGTACAACTATTAATTCAGATAATTTCTTCTTTTTCTTATGTTATATGGATATATACACTGCCCTCCAAAAGTTCTGTTACAATTGCATTTTTCGATATATAATTACAGAAGTGCAGAATAATGCCAATCTTGTTTTTATTATCATTTGTATATATTATTAACTAAGTTATTCGACAATTATTTCTGTTGATTTTATTATGTTAAGTTAACATATTGTTACAAAAATCAGCTATTATGTAAATTGTCAAAAACATTGTAATTCCATTAATATTTAGTGTATCCTCCACGAGCTCTAATCACAGCCTGTATATGTTCAGGCATGCTCCTAACCAAAGTTCTACATCTCCTAGCAGGTATTCCATCCCATGCAAGCTGTGAGGCAGCTTCAAGTTCCCTTAAGTTTCTGCTCTTGTGTCGGGGAACATCAAAACCGAGATCTCTACCACAAGTTTTCTATCGGGTTCAAGTCGGAGGGCACTCCAAAGACAGAATATTGTTGTCCTCCTTCCATTCGTTCACTATTCGTGCCCGGTTGCATGGGGCACCGTCATCCTGTAAGAAATAATTGCTTCCATAGCCTCGCAGATGTGCTGATGGTACCGCGCTATTTTCTAAAATGTCAATGTATTTGGTTCCATTCAGATTTCCTTTCAAAGGAGTGAGGTATCCAGTCCCTCGGTAGGACATTGCACGCCAAACTGTCACACCGCTGCCACCAAAGTTAACTGTAGGCACTACACAGTCTTGCCGCAATTGTTCATTTGCCCTTCTTCTCACATACGTCCTGCCATCTGTTTGGAAAATGGTGAACCTAGCCTCATCAGTCCATAAAACAGTCGAGCAGTCCAACAATGTCCAATTTGCATGGTTCTGTGCAAATGGCAATCTTTTCCTATGATGGGTAGCAGTCAAAAGTGTTTTTTTGACAGCAACACAACCTTTCAATCCCGCATTGTGTAATCGTCTCCTCGCTGTGGTATTCGACGCTACCACACCATTTTGGATCCACTCCATTCAAAACTCAGGAACGGTATCCTTGCGATTACTGAGGCTGGTCCGGACTAATAATCTATCATCCCGAGGGGTAGAAATCAGTGGCCGGCTAGAACGTTCTTGATCCTCATAGTTCCCGGTATCTTGGAACCGTTTAATGGGCCTGTACACGTTCAGTCTGCAACAAAAGAGAAACAATAACACAACTATAGACAGGTTCTGGATAAGAAAAGTTTGCAAAAGCACCAAAATCTTCGATGAAAACATTCACTTATCTGCTGGTTCCAAGAATTCTTGAAGTTTGGGAGGCAGCAACACCATTGCGATGGTAAAAAACACACTGGAATCATTCTTCTCTTGTCATTCGCTGCATTTCTTCTCATGAGATTTTGCAAAGTGATTGAATAGTACAACTATACTTAAAAGATAACAAATAATCAATGAATGGTGAATAGTGATGTATTTTGTCATTTCAAATTAAATTAAAATTAAATACCTAGTACATTTAATTAAATCTAACAATTCTCAAGCATCTGATAGATTTATGTAAAATGTGAATTAACAGAATTGTTTGACAAAACCCTTATTGTGATTCAATTTGGATACCCGGTAATCAATGATGTCAAATCATCTTAATACATAACATTATCACCCTTTCCAATAGTTTTGTCAAAGATAATTTATCAGCAAAATTTGAGATATGTAACAGAACTTTTGGATGGCAGTGTATGTTATGACAGGTAATGTTTTTAATTGATCAGAACTGTCAAAGCAGATTTTTTCTTTATTTTTAACTTTTGTGGTTTTGTTCTATATTTTATCTATTATGACAATAATGTTGTGCCTCTGTTCTCTGCGAGCTTTGCTGTAGTATTGCACCGTTGATTGTTGTGTGACTATGGGGATTACTGCAGTTAATGTATCCTGATGTTGAATGGTTGGCTTCTTCAGCTTGTGTACTATTTATTCGGGTATGGTCAAAGTGAAATCCTCACAAGTCTGTCGATTTGACGATCATGTAAATACTTGAACATGACGTTGTCAATTCAAAATACTGAAATGAAGCATGCAAAGACGCCTGATAACATCACTTTTTCACCAAAGGAGAGGAATTTGTTTAAAGAAAAATGTACTTTTCGTCCCTTTTATAGTCAAAATTATATAAAAAAAAAGAGAAATAATTCAAAACCTATTCATTTATTACTTTTTGAAAGAAATTGTGCAAAAAATGATTTCATTTTCTGCAAAAAGAATGAAATATACTTTTAGGAGGGAAAGCTACTATAAACACTTAACTCATTCACCCCTGAAGACACATTTGAACTCTTCCAATTCAAATGTTGGAATAGTTCATTATGAAATGTCAGGGGTGGATGAGTTATTATGTATTATATTAAGATCGGTAATTCCTGTACACTAGGTGATATGACAGTACATGGAACCTGTAGACACTCTCATCTTACTGAGTGTTGTTTTTGTCATAAACACTAGTATTGGTTATAAAGAAATTAAATATGAAGAATCAAGACTTGTTTACAGCCCTTAAAGCTACAAACCAGAAAATTACAAAAGATTCCAGGTGTTAGAGCTGTTGACGTAAAGATAAAATCCCTATATCTTTTTCTTTGACTTTATTCCTCCATAAATGAAGAGTACATACAAAAATGTAATAATATTAAGACAAAGAATTAGAAAATTGATAGATATCAATTAAGTGCTTTCTTGTGGTTTAGTGAAATGATTTGTGATCTTTGTGGTAAAGGAGATAGTTAAATATATTTTGTACAAGTTTACAAGACTTATATCAGATACAAACCTATTGTACAAGTTTACAAGTCTTATATCAGATACAAACCTATTGTACAAGTTTACAAGACCTATTTCATAGCTTAACCTATGGACCTAGAGAAGATTATATCATGTTGTTATAAATTAACAAGTGCTTTTTGGCCTTTTTTGACAGAAACCTACACTATACAGCAAGCTATAGACAACATTGGATTTGGGAAGTTCCAGATCAAACTTTCCATCCTCACAGGATTTGCATGGGTAAGTAATGTTATGTACTTTTATATACTCCTCCCCAGGAGGTAGTTTGTACATATGTTCACTTTTCCATTGCTTAGTCATAACTTCAGAGACTTTATTTTTGAACAGATTTTCATCAAACTTCATACATGTATATTAGCCGAGCCTGAGATTTCCTTAAAACAGGTCGTTTTATCAGGTTGCCAAGGTCAAAGTCATCATTACTATTTCCATGATTCTTTGTCCGGTACATGTCACTCAAGTGACTTGATTTCTGAACATATTGCGATCAAACTTCCCATGTTGGTCAAGTATAAGAATACCTTGGAACAAGTTGAGTGTCAGGGTGGTAAGGTCAAGGTCACTTTCATATTTATAAATTTATAAAAAATATTGGCATTGCTCCAGTGACCTCATTTGTAATAGATTTTGATCAAACTTATACAATAGTCACATATGAGAATACTTTCATTGTGTTAAGGTCAAGGTTACAGGCTGATATGGATAGGAAGACTTTCTAGACTCTCTTTAAAAAGATGTAATATTTTTATGTGCATTTAGATATGTACAGATACAGTGAAATTCTTTATCAGAGAACACTAGATTGATGTGTAATTCAGTAACAATGTCATGCACACCAGAGTATTTCCATGACTTCCTATGCCTTGTCACAAATGGATGCATGAATCTTTCCTCCCATCCTCTTTGTACAGAAGACAATTTCAGAAAAAAATCTTTTCTCTTTTCTTTCAAAAACATGTTGTGATATGTTACATCAGTGTGATGTCATTTTGTGACATCTCAATCGGATGCAATATTGGCTTAGTTAAACAAGGGATGCTAATGTTATTCAAGTGACTTGAACATCAAACACAGCTTTGGTATGATCGAGTGATTTTGTGATAAGTGCTTAGCATTTACAACATACATCGACATGAAGTGGATTTTATTTCAACACTTGTTTACTAAACAAATATGGCTGTCATTCATTTTCTTTAACCATTTTTTTTTAAAACATGTCGCTCAACTGCTATTTGAAGAAGATTGACCAATCGTGTTTTACAGATGGCAGATGCCATGGAGATGATGATACTGGCCATTTTGTCTCCCGCCCTACACTGTGAATGGCAGCTAGAGAGCTGGCAGCAGGCTCTCATCACCACGGTAACACACTAACCTATGATTAACTTTAAAATTTAAAATTTTATTAACTTCCATGATCTTGATAGAAAACAAAATCTACACATTGATCTGGGTCATAAGACATATATGTGAAATAGTGCTTCATATATGTAACTGAGTTCATTGTTGTTTCATTGTAATAACAATCTGTAAATCAGTTTGTAAGCCCCGCCAGATTGTATAGGCTGTTGGGTAGCTATAGGGGACATGGTATTACCCATGCCAATCCTGTCCTTTTGAGTTCTGTCCTGTCACAAACCCGAACAACAAGGGAGGTACATTGTAATTTCAAAATAACAAATATTCACATATACAAATATTTCTTATGAAGCCCTGTTGTGTCGGTGACAACAGAAATAAGAGACTTAGTTATTTGAAATGTTCATGTTTGTGGTAGTAGGATCTGATTGCCTGTATACATAATAGAGGTCATTTAGAGGTCAGCAATTAAGGTCAGAAGTCACATATATTAATGTTTTGACACTTAAGATTAATATAATTAAAAAAAAACAGTCATTAGAATTTGAGTTCAAAACTTAAAGGTCAGAGTCAATGGTGACAATTTTAATGCTGTACAGGTAAATATAAGTCGCTTAGAAATAAATAAATCACAACTTTTACCACATGATGTTATGGAATAAATCTTTACAGGTATTGCTGATCTGTCAGCTTTTCCTGTAAAATATAAGATGATGTACATGTTTTTGACCTGTTTTATATTACAGATTGTATTCTGTGGGATGTTCTGTAGTTCAAGTTTCTGGGGCAGTGTGTGTGACAAATACGGACGCAGATCAGTATGTATATTTGACGACAGCCACATCAAAGAAAATATGCTCATGCATATACTTATAGAGCTGTACCGTTTATAAAAAGACTAGTTCTTCTTTTGGTGAAAAACTTAAATCTATTCAAAGTTGAACCCTGGAAGCATACTTGTGAATGAAATGGCTCCCCAGTTAAATAAGACTCGTTACAGAACATAGTCACTCTATTTCTAGCTTATTAGAAGATTGAATGTTCAGAGTGAGTTTTGACCTTTCCTTTAATATTTTTTTGGAGTTTAAAAATCAGTTTCAGATCACCAGTAATATGAAATAATATCACAATAGCATATCATAGTATAGCATAACAGGTATTAAAAAATTCATAAAAAAAATTGAAAGACCAAATTGATTCGAGAAGATGATAACCAGATGCTGTAAAAAGCTGCAATCAACAACTTTTTATATTTATCAACAACCATGAAAAGTTATCAGTAAAAGCGGGGGATATTATTTTGGGTTTGTCCGTCTGTCTGTCATGCTTAGTTTCTGTGCAATAACTGCAACAAATGTTTACCGATTTTCTTCAAACTTGGTCACAGGGTTAAATGCCTTAAGGGCTCGGGCAAGTTCGATGACCACTTTCAGCAGACTTTATTTGGCGGAGTTATGGCCCCTTGAATAGCAAAAACTTCATTTTCTGCCGTTTCTGTTCATTAACTCTCGCAAATATTATCTGATTGTCTTCAAACTTAGAAACAAGGTTCAATGCATTAAGGGCTCGGCAAAGTTTGACAACCACTTTAATTGGACTCCATTTGGCAGAGTAATGGCCCCTTGATTAATGAAAAACGTCATTATCTGCAGTTTCCGCAACTCTAGTAAATATTAGCCAAATTCCTTCAAACTTGATAACAATGTTTGTGTTCCTCTGTCTTTCATCCCATCTCGGGCACTCTTTGGGTTTTCGTGTGATAAATGCTGTAGATATTGTGCAGATATTTCAACCAAATTCTGTATGCACATCTGACTCATGCTAAGTTTGCCAACCGATGTGATTTGTGCATATATACGGATAATTAATGAGGTATGAGGCTTTTTTTTTCTACAAGTTTCAAGCTATACATTATGTCGTAACAGCACAATACTCACATGTTTAAACCTAACCTCAATAATGTTTACCTACAATATGTTCTGCTAGCAGGGATATAAATTCCATGAATTTGCTTGTTGAACCATACACACGCTCCAATAGTGTTCTAAAATATATCCCTTTTATCTAGATCATGTCCGGTAAAAGTGCATATAATTAACTTGGATATAGTAGAAAAGGAATCACTTATGATTTTATTGTGAAAAATTATAAATGTTCCATGTAAGGGTATTTAGTAGTCAGTGCACACTTTTCTGATACACATATGAATGATACTCTACAAAACTCCATATTCATAGTAGCCTACCTTATTTGCCATAATTAGCACTCCTCCCCCTATAGGTGCCCCTCACCCTTTTTTGGGAGGAATTTGAAATATATTGACCCTCTCAGAGACCTGACCAGGCCCAGTCAATGATTGGGAGTACTTACACTTAAAAGCAGAGATTTATGTCTGGTTATCATGGCTGGACTTCCTATGAAGCGTGAAATAGATGAAAACAAATCATGTCTAAAATGTTTATATTGTTCTAAGATGAAAAAACCTGATTGAAGTTGCACAGCTTATTCAATCATAACTTACATTTTATTATCCTAATAAATGCCATTCTCCCCCCCCCCCCCTTTAAGCACCCTGGGTGCTAATTATATTATGGGAAATACAGAATTTATAGAATAAAAGTTGACCAACATTTAAATACCTGCTGGAGGTAATATGACCTCCTGTGTTTGGACTTAGAGTATCAGAATTCATGCTTGAATTTGTTAGGAAGCAATATTACTTTACAAGGAAAAGATATTACTTTACAAGGAAAAGACATGTCAATGTTATAGTGTCTATAACCCTTTCACCACCATAGACCACAATGGACTCATCCCGATAAATGCATGGTAGAGTCTACTAAAGTTACCTAGGGGTGAAAGGGTAAAGAAACTATTGGCACATTTTTTTTTACTAGATTCACATGGTTTCTGCTAGGAACTAGACTTTTACTTTAACCTATACAGACACACTCCTGGCGTTTAGTACCATACATGTTGTCCCACTAAATGTCTGTTTTGATTTCTAGGAGCTGATTCTGTGCTCTGTGTTTACCTGTTACTTCGGTATCCTCAGCGCATTCTCACCCACCTTTATATGGATGTTGATCTTAAGAGGACTTGTTGGCTTCGGTATAGGAGGTGCTCCACAGTCGTATGTATCATACAGTGTGTTTTCTCTACTGTCAATTCTGAACAGTCCGGAATTTCCTCAAAATTGTGTTACCAAATTTATATACTTTTTCAGGGATTTTAGAAATTGATATACTGATACAGAAATGCATTATCTTAAAATTATCCAGAAACTGAATCTGTTATTGAATTGAGACTTGTTGTTTATGGTCTCCGAGTGATCCTTTGAAATCATATATTGTTTTTGTTGACAATATTTATGTTCAACAAGTAACTGTGGAATGAGATGTATGGTTTATTTGCAGTGTAACCCTGTATGCAGAGTTCCTGCCGTCCTCTTCCAGAGCGAGATGTGTTGTGCTGGTCGAGGTATTGTATCTATGTTACTTCACAAAACCTTGTCATGAGTACCACATAGTATGTAACATGAAATGTTTGCTGTGTATAAACATTCATGGTTTTACATGGTTGTACAATTTTGCTTGAAGTTATATCCACAACATCAATACAGCTATTCAAACTCCTTCCACTAAGTTGTGTTGAAACAGTATTGGTGGATCATAAAGGGTTGAGGGATTATCCTTGATTAGACTTTTAGTGTTGGAAGCTCAATTAAAAGACTCATTTAAAATCAGATCCTAAAATAAAAAGAATTGATGTAATTTGCAAAAGGTACCAGAGGCAATAAGTTTTGAGGATTAGTAAATGGATATCAATGAAGAATATAGAAATATTTTTTGTTTGGGGAAGTTATGATAGGTTAAAAAATATGGATAGAAAACTCTTGAAATGAAGTATGTAAAGCTGTTTTAATGAGGTATAACATGATTTTGAGGAAAGTAGAGGTGTGATGATAAGTAAGGAGATTGGTAAATCTCACCTTGAAAATTCCCTGAAGACCCAAATGTTTAGTTTGGAAGTCAATGTGGTAGAGCCATATTATATAGGCAATACTTTCCTGAGGTAAAGTTGAACTGAAAATATCCTGACCGGAAATTTTACAGAAGTTCAGGTCAAATCCACATGAATTTTTTTCTTGTCATATTGATGTCATTTTTCAACTGAAATTGACTCATTTTACTCTTTATAAGTAAAATTCACGTGAAAATTTGACCTGAATTGGCATCAAATAGATTCCACCAGTGTACCTGACCTTCAATGTTCCCTCCTCACACACTGTACTGGTGTATATGACTGGTATACCAGGAGAACTGGTTACATTGGTACTCTGCTCCATGTTATACAGACACTTGTACATGGTCAGTGAAACTGTGTGGTTTTGCCTCCACAGATATTCTGGGCTATTGGTGCTTGTTTTGAGGTGCTACTTGCGCTGGTGGTCATGCCAACATTGGGCTGGAAATGGCTGCTCGGACTGTCTGCTATGCCACTATTGCTGTTTTCGCTGTGCTGCTTTGTAAGTAACCTTGAGTGAAAGACAGCCATTACCTCCCCTTATAAGCAGTATTGCTGAACTCTTTCATGTTTTATCATTCTTAAAGATAGTAATGTTGCCTACTATCTTGAAACTCAGTCAAATATGTTGAAATTTCTAATTTAATGATCAAAACATGCATGGAAAAATAATATTAACTCGATAAATACCTGGTCATCAGTGCTGATAGAGTTGCTTCCCTTTGTAGTGGTTGCCAGAAAGTGCGAGGTATGACATGTGCAGAGGACAAGCTGATAAAGCGATAGCTACACTAGAGAGGATCGCTAAGGAGAACGGGAAGCCAATGCCGCTGGGCAAACTCGTAGAGCCGTCCACGAAGGTGAGCTTGCATTGCTATAAGATGAATGACTTGTGTAAAGTCCCTGTACTGTTGAGTTAATTAATGTTCCTGAAATGAAGATCACAAAAAGGCTAGAAATAAATGTCTTAATGTAAAAAACCTGTGTTACAAGCAAAAGATTAAAGCTCTCCTTATTTTTTCCATCATCAAAAATAAATTTTCTTTCAAAAATCATTGTTGTTTGTGTGAAGAGTAAGTATTTTAAAGCGTTATTTACATGTAACATGGGGTATGTCACCAATGACTCTAGATACTATTAATATATATCGTAGTATTATTAGTAACATATGTTTTGTTTCTGTCTTATTGTAGGCTACAAACAGAGGCAGTATAAAAGATCTTTTTCTCCCGGAGTTAAGAAAAACAACCTTACTTTTATGGGTTATTTGGTAGGTGGACACCTGCTCAATGTATCCTTTCCTAACTCATCATTTCAAATCTCAATAAGAAATTATATTAATAACTTTAAAGCAGATTTGAGGTTTTTTTTCAAAATAACTGTCTGGTGTATGTAAGTTACAGTAAGTTCCTTACAGTTTCAAAACAGAGTATTTGCTGTAAGTACTGATTATTTGCTGTAATTAATGGCTTAGCCTATAGGCACAAGTTCCTTACAGATTTATAACAGATTATTTGCTGTAAGTACTGATTAGATTTACTGTAATTAATGGCTTAGTCTTTAGGTACAAGTTCCTTACAGATTTATAACAGATTATTTGCTGTAAGTACTGATTATTTGCTGTAATTAATGACTTAGCCTATAGGCACAAGTTCCTTACAGATTTATAACTATAAGATGTAAGTACTTGTTACCTTGTAGTTTTGTTTCTGTCTCAGGTTTGTGTCAGCATTCTCCTACTACGGTATTGTACTGATGACAACAGAACTGTTTCAAATCTCGGACGGTTGTCACGGTAAGTACATAGGTGTATTGTATACATATCTAGGTTAGTTATGAATTAACCTCAGCTTCAAGCTCAGAACCATGTATTTTAGCTAAGCAAATAATTGAAAGTGGCAACTAATGATACATTGAAGGCTTTGAACCTTTTCTTGAAAGAATTATTTATATTATAGTTAAAAACCTGTACATTGTGTACTGGTATAAGTACACTTTAAAGGATTTTTTTCACATTTTATCAATGACTTGGAAGATCGAACGCTGAATACTGTTTTCAATGATTACGCTTGACTTTCTTTTTCTGGCTGTGTTACATGATTTAAGCTTATTACAAGAAAGTACATGATTTAAGCTTATTACAAGAAAGTTTACTCGAGCACAGAATTTAAACTTGAGCTTGAGAACGTTTTCATGAGAACCAGCCATAATGTCACCACTAGTTAACATAGAGGTACATGTTGTCACCACTAGTTAACATAGAGGTACATGTTGTCACCACTAGTTAACATAGAGGTACATGTTGTCACCACTAGTTAACATAGAGGTACATGTTGTCACCACTAGTTAACATAGAGGTACATGTTGTCACCACTAGTTAACATAGAGGTACATGTTGTCACCACTAGTTAACATAGAGGTACATGTTGTCACCACTAGTTAACATAGAGGTACATGTTGTCACCACTAGTTAACATAGAGGTACATGTTGTCACCACTAGTTAACATAGAGGTACATGTTGTCACCACTAGTTAACATAGAGGTACATGTTGTCACCACTAGTTAACATAGAGGTACATGTTGTCACCACTAGTTAACATAGAGGTACATGTTGTCACCACTAGTTAACATAGAGGTACATGTTGTCCTGCTACTTGTGTTTTGTTCTTTGTTCCTGTTCCTTCCCTTTGTTGTGTATCTGATGTGAAGGGAGGGATATCAATCTTTCTCCACAGAAACACATCCTTGTTGTATCTGATTTCAAAATGTAGTCATAAGAAAAGAATTACCATATTTCATATAGCTTTATCTCCAACAGGTTCAGAAACTGGTAAGAAGGGCAATAAGCTCATTGGACTGTAGTGGGCTGTGGCTTTATAATCTCCATCTATTCTATTGGGCTATCTACAATAATTAGCACCCTGGGCTGAAGGCTGACTTCTATAAAGCCTATATAATGGCCTGTGGTGGGCTAACTGCTGTGATAAACACTTTGGACTGACTTATACCCTTGATGTATTGCAGTGGTTCGACTGCTATAATGTTGACCATTCTATTGCATTACACATGTATACCCGGGCAAGCAAATCAAATTCAGATGGCTTTCATATCAGCTATAAATGCCATGGCCCACATGTTGACGTTATCTTTATTATGATGCCTAATTGTAACATTGGATAACACTGACACTCTCTGGAAGATAGCTGTTCTATTCGTTAAACAAGCACACATGGTACAAACATAGCTGTTCTATTCGTTAAACAAGCATACATGGTACATACATAGCTGTTCTATTTGTTAAACAAGCATACATGGGACATACATAGCTGTTCTATTCGTAAAACAAGCATACATGGTACATACATAGCTGTTCTATTCGTTAAACAAGCATATAGCTGTTCTATTAATTAAATAAGCATATAGCTGTTCTATTCATTGAACAAGCATATAGCTGTTCTATTTGTTAAACAAGCATATAGCTGTTCTATTCATTGAACAAGCATATAGCTGTTCTATTTGTTAAACAAGCATATAGCTGCTCTATTCATTGAACAAGCATAAAGCTGTTCTATTCGTTAAACAAGCATATAGCTGTTTTATTCATTAAACAAGCACACATGATACATGCAGACATTTACTTTAACTAAATGCTTCAATTTGATAAATATATTTTTATGAGATTAAAATATCTAGGAATGTTAAATATGGACATTGAAATGTTTTCATTTGGCATTCATGGTCATTATGAATGCCAAAGGGGAGCAGTTTAATGTTTTTGGGGGTGGTTGGGTGGCGTAGTGGATAGGGCACTTGCCTTTCACCTGATTGGATGTGGTAAGGTATGGGGTCACCATTACCATGTGGATTTTCTCTGAGTACTCTGGATACCTCCCACATTAAGCCCCCCAGTGCGCTAACATCCGGACCAACAAGAGTGATTAAAAGTTGTAAAAAAATTGTCTCATAATTGATGTTAACTGAATAAAGTTTATATGAATGCTTTAATAACTATCATTGCTTGTAGTAGGCTGATAGGTGTTATGTAGGCACCTCTAAAGACTGTATACGGTTGACTAATATAATGTTTATAGAGGGCTAATGTAATGATTGCTTAAAGTACATCTAGGACTAGGGGCTGTAGAGGGCTAATATAATGACTGCTTAAAGTACATCTAGGACTAGGGGCTGTAGAGGGCTAATATAATGACTGCTTAAAGTACATCTAGGACTAGGGGCTGTAGAGGGCTAATATAATGACTGCTTAAAGTACATCTAGGACTAGGGGCTGTAGAGGGCTAATATAATGACTGCTTAAAGTACATCTAGGACTAGGGGCTGTAGAGGGCTAATATAATGACTGCTTAAAGTACATCTAGGACTAGGGGCTGTAGAGGGCTAATATAATGACTGCTTAAAGTACATCTAGGACTAGGGGCTGTAGAGGGCTAATATAATGACTGCTTAAAGTACATCTAGGACTAGGGGCTGTAGAGGGCTAATATAATGACTGCTTAAAGTACATCTAGGACTAGGGGCTGTAGAGGGCTAATATAATGACTGCTTAAAGTACATCTAGGACTAGGGGCTGTAGAGGGCTAATATAATGACTGCTTAAAGTACATCTAGGACTAGGGGCTGTAGAGGGCTAATATAATGACTGCTTAAAGTACATCTAGGACTAGGGGCTGTAGAGGGCTAATATAATGACTGCTTAAAGTACATCTAGGACTAGGGGCTGTAGAGGGCTAATATAATGACTGCTTAAAGTACATCTAGGACTAGGGGCTGTAGAGGGCTAATATAATGACTGCTTAAAGTACATCTAGGACTAGGGGCTGTAGAGGGCTAATATAATGACTGCTTAAAGTACATCTAGGACTAGGGGCTGTAGAGGGCTAATATAATGACTGCTTAAAGTACATCTAGGACTAGGGGCTGTAGAGGGCTAATATAATGACTGCTTAAAGTACATCTAGGACTAGGGGCTGTAGAGGGCTAATATAATGACTGCTTAAAGTACATCTAGGACTAGGGGCTGTAGAGGGCTAATATAATGACTGCTTAAAGTACATCTAGGACTAGGGGCTGTAGAGGGCTAATATAATGACTGCTTAAAGTACATCTAGGACTAGGGGCTGTAGAGGGCTAATATAATGACTGCTTAAAGTACATCTAGGACTAGGGGCTGTAGAGGGCTAATATAATGACTGCTTAAAGTACATCTAGGACTAGGGGCTGTAGAGGGCTAATATAATGACTGCTTAAAGTACATCTAGGACTAGGGGCTGTAGAGGGCTAATATAATGACTGCTTAAAGTACATCTAGGACTAGGGGCTGTAGAGGGCTAATATAATGACTGCTTAAAGTACATCTAGGACTAGGGGCTGTAGAGGGCTAATATAATGACTGCTTAAAGTACATCTAGGACTAGGGGCTGTAGAGGGCTAATATAATGACTGCTTAAAGTACATCTAGGACTAGGGGCTGTAGAGGGCTAATATAATGACTGCTTAAAGTACATCTAGGACTAGGGGCTGTAGAGGGCTAATATAATGACTGCTTAAAGTACATCTAGGACTAGGGGCTGTAGAGGGCTAATATAATGACTGCTTAAAGTACATCTAGGACTAGGGGCTGTAGAGGGCTAATATAATGACTGCTTAAAGTACATCTAGGACTAGGGGCTGTAGAGGGCTAATATAATGACTGCTTAAAGTACATCTAGGACTAGGGTCTGTAGAGGGCTAATATAATAACTGTTTAAAGTACATCTAGGACTAGGGGCTGTGGAGGGCTAATATAATAACTGCTTAAAGTACATCTAGGACTAGGGGCTGTAGAGGGCTAATATAATGACTGCTTAAAGTATATCTAGGACTAGGGGCTGTAGAGGGCTAATATAATGACTGCTTAAAGCACATCTAGGACTAGGGGCTGTAGAGGGCTAATATAATGACTGCTTAAAGTATATCTAGGACTAGGGGCTGTAGAGGGCTAATATAATGACTGCTTATAGTACATCTAGGACTCGGGGCTGTAGAGGGCTAATATAATAACTGCTTAAAATATATCTAGGACTAGGGTCTGTAGAGGGCTAATATAATAACTGCTTAAAATACATCTAGGACTAGGGACTGTAGAGGGCTAATATAATAACTGTTTAAAGTACATCTAGGACTAGGGTCTGTAGAGGGCTAATATAATAACTGCTTAAAATATATCTAGGACTAGGGTCTGTAGAGGGCTAATATAATAACTGCTTAAAATATATCTAGGACTAGGGTCTGTAGAGGGCTAATATAATAACTGCTTAAAATATATCTAGGACTAGGGTCTGTAGAGGGCTAATATAATGACTGCTTAAAGTATATCTAGGACTAGGGGCTGTAGAGGGCTAATATAATGACTGCTTATAGTACATCTAGGACTCGGGGCTGTAGAGGGCTAATATAATAACTGCTTAAAATACATCTAGGACTAGGGGCTGTAGAGGGCTAATATAATAACTGCTTAAAATACATCTAGGACTAGGGTCTGTAGAGGGCTAATATAATAACTGCTTAAAATACATCTAGGACTAGGGGCTGTAGAGGGCTAATATAATGACTGCTTATAGTACATCTAGGACTCGGGGCTGTAGAGGGCTAATATAATAACTGCTTAAAATATATCTAGGACTAGGGTCTGTAGAGGGCTAATATAATAACTGCTTAAAATACATCTAGGACTAGGGGCTGTAGAGGGCTAATATAATAACTGCTACTGGCTAAAAGTGACTAACAACTAATTGAAAGGGCTTTAGTGGGCTGCCAGTTGTAATGAGCTCTATGGGCTGGAGTTGGCTGACTGCCTTAGTAAACACAATGGGCTGTAGAGGGCTTACTGCTGTGATAACTGCTACTTAACCAAGCTGCAAACTACAGTCAAACCTTGTTTTTTGGATTGTTATTTTTTTTTTGAAATAAATGAGGAAATCTATTTATCATAAAAAATCTTTTAAAAAAATCATGGTGAATGGGTTATATATATTTATCCTGCAACTCGCATCATAACTGTTTGTAAAGAAGTGACTGAATATAATACAGCTGTATTTGTATTCCGTCTTTGCGTATTGTAGAGTTATCTTCTCTTGTGAGCAGGTATTGATTGTTACGTCATTGGTTTGTGTGAGAAAATGACGTCGTTTTCTCAAAAATTAATGACGTTGCACTCACAACCAAATGATGTAACAATCAATACCTGCTCACAAGAGTAGATAACTCTGCAATACGAAAAGACGGAATATTTACTAAACAAATACAGTTCAGTATATTTGTTCTGATAAAATATGGTGTGTTTCTTTCAAAAAAAAGTATTTTACACATTGTACTGAATATACTCGATATCTTCTGAAATGTCATACATACGTGATGATGTTTCTTATTTGAGTTAGTGCTTAAGTTGTTTACATTATGCGAGAAAGCGTATTCCTGTTCTCAACGATGAAGCAAAACTGGCATCAAATCGAAAGGTGATCTGGCTACCTGATGTTTGGCAGCACTTAGTTTTTGTGTTGTTTTTGTTTCATATTTTGCGCCATTGTTCATTGCAAGAAATAAGCAGTACCTTAGTTGCTATTTTACATAATTTTCACAACAATGAAGGGTTGCAGAATAAATAGAATACACGTTTTGTGTGATAAAATAAATTAGGTGTCTTTGGTCTCTAGACAGCAGGTGGAGATGGCTGGCCAAGTCTTGTCATCTTCATCTTTCATTACTTTTGTCTGAATACACATTGTGTTTTCAGACACTTTACAAGTTAGTACTAGCTAGGTTGGACTGTAGTATACTCCGCTTCACCTTTTTCTTCATAATTCACTTATTACATCATTGCATTGGGAAGGCATTATTTTGGCAGGAATCTGAGGTATATGGAATAAGCAAGGTAAAATGGTGCTGGGAAAAAAGCTCAATTTATCCTGTAGTTCCAGTATGTCATGGACAACATTGATTCGAAGTGTATGAAGTGTTGTTCCAACAGCATTTTCCTGCATTTGTCCTTCTATTGAATCCTATTGAACATATATTTTTCGGACCAAAGACCAAAATCATTGTCAAAACATTTACTTCACTGGTGTTGGTGAATAAAACCTTTATTTCTGCCAATTCAATTACTGGTATCTATCATGAGTTTGTTTAGGATTAAATCTGTTGTAATTTTTTTCGAAGAAAGTATTTGAATCATCAGATATTTAAGTGGTCCTATATGATTAAATAAGGTATACTTGTATAATGTATTTGGTCTAGAAATTAAAGAATGTTAAAAAACATGTAGTTTACTTCTAAATATTTATGTCTATTTAAAAACAATTTTTGAAGCCATCAAATATTAAGGTCTATTGTGGTACATGTACTGCGAAGACTGTGAGTCCTGATGTTTATCGTGAGTTCTGTTTTAGTTTGTGTTGTGGCTGTTAATTAAATGTTGATGTTACTAACATCAGGGTCTGAAATCAAAGCCAAAGCACCATGCTTCCTCAAGTGTAATGGACTCGATACCGGGGACTACATAGATCTCACCTGGACCACCTTTGCCGAGTTTCCAGGTAATACAAACAATCTTGTCATGTTTTTGGGTATAACTTATGTTGGGTGACAGTGAGTTATTGGGGGATAGGTTTCTGCTGCTCACCAGAAGGCCTAGGCCTGGTTGTTCAGTAACTAGATTTGCTAATGTGTTGTCAAAGAAAACTTTTGATATCGGTTACTAATCAGGGTGTGTGGTGTAATTATTTGAATTGCAAGACTGTCAGTGGTAGGATGATAACCGGGTTGACAGGTAATGCACTTTGTATACCCAGAGAGACCCTTTCTCGTTTCTTAGAAAGTACATTTTAAAATGTAGACGCTGCCTTGTACAACAGACTCAAAACCAGAAAAGTGACATTTTCATTTATTTTTTAATCTGAATTGAAAGCTTTTTAACTTTAATGAGTAAACAGTACATTGCTGTTTCTTCTCCTTTCATTTCCATACTTCGATACATTTACACACAATAATGCATCAGAAGGATTTTAAGTATATCAGATTGGCATGTGACAGGCATATATCGTTGCAGTACTCTTGTTAAGCCTGTTACTATGGTAATTTGTTTGTTTGTATTTTACAGGTCTGTTTGTTACTATCTGGACTTGTTTGCTTGTTACTAGGATGATTTAAGGGTTATATTTGTATTTTACAGGTCTATTTGTTATTATCTGGACTTATTTGCTTGTTACTAGGATGATTTAAGAGTTATATTTGTATTTTACAGGTCTATTTGTTACTATCTGGACTTGTTTGCTTGTTACTAGAATGATTTAAGGGTTATATTTGTATTTTACAGGTCTATTTGTTATTATCTGGACTTGTTTGCTTGTTACTAGGATGATTTAAGGGTTATATTTGTATTTTACAGGTCTATTTGTTACTATCTGGACTTATTTGATTGTTACTAGGATGATTTAAGAGGTTTTTTTTTGTATTTTACAGGTCTATTTGTCACCGTGATTGTTATAGAGAAGTTTGGGAGAAAGTTTACGATGGCAATGGAGTTCTTTGTCTTCACCGTTTTTGTTCTATTTTCCAATATATGTACATCAAGGTGAGCATGTTTTACTCACTATACTGGGACACTTCCACCCTGTCAAATTGTCGCTCTTTTCTGATCAAATCCCTGTTCACTCAGTGTTGATTTGGTCCTTTACATGTAATTGCTATGTATTGCATGTTGTGTACTTAGATTCGCTGTCATGATACGTTTGCTCTCATTGGAAACTTGAACTCAGCAAAAAGTTCCTGGTATACAGTATTATCCTAGGAATATCATTCTACCATAGTTATATTATTTCACTCCATCATGTTACCCTGATTGTAGTATTATAATAAGTGTTATGAATCTGGTAGAATTATTTTACAAAGTGAGAATTCACAAGTAATCAAGTGTAATATCCTACTAATTATAAATGATTTGTTATCCAATTAGCATTGAATCAAGACACATTATTATTATTTTAAAATTCATTTGTATTAAAAATGCATGCATTGAAAATAAGTTAACTATGTTTCTGATAAACCCTTGCCGGTATTCTAAGATTCAATATTACTCCCATCTTAGAATTGAGTTTTACATCTGAAAATTCCTACTCTTTTGTTTTCATGAACATGGAAATCGAATGACAGATTGAGATACAATAGGTAATAAACTGCATTATATCTTTTTCAGACCGGTATTGACATTCTTCCTGTTTGTAGCCAGAGCTTTTATATCTGGAGCTTTCCAGGCAGCTTATGTATACACACCTGAGGTAAGGGATGGTATACATGTATACACACCTGAGTTAAGGTATGGTATATGTATACACACCTGAGGTAAGGGAGGGGATACATGTATACACACCTGAGGTAAGGGATAGTATATGTATACACACCTGAGGTAAGGGATTGTATACATTGATACCCTCCTGAGGTAAGGGATGGTATACATGTGTCCACACCTGAGGTAAGGGAGGGGTGTATGTGTACACACCTGAGGTAAGGGATGGTATACAAGTATACCCACCTGAGGTAAGGGATGGTATACATGTATACATACCTGAGGTAAGAGAGGGGTGTATGTGTACACACCTGAGGAAAGGGAGGGGTATATGTATACACACCTGAGGTCAGGGATGGTATACATGTATACACACCTGATGTAAGGGATGGTATACATGTATACACACCTGAGGTAAGAGAGGGGTGTATGTGTACACACCTGAGGTAAGGGAGGGGTATATGTATACACACCTGAGGTAAGGGATGGTATACAAGTATACACACCTGAGGTAAGGGATGGTATACATGTATACACACCTGAGGTAAGGGATGGTATACATGTGTACACACCTGAGGTAAGGGAGGGGTGTATGTGTACACACCTGAGGTAAGGGATGGTATACATGTATACACACCTGAGGTAAGGGATGGTATACATGTGTACACCCCTGAGGTAAGGGAGGGGTGTATGTATACACACCTGAGGTAAGGGAGGGGTATATGTATACATACCTGAGGTAAGGGATGGTATACATGTATACACACCCGAGGTAAGGGATGGCATACATGTATACACACCTGAGGTAAGGAATGGTATACATGCATGTGTACACCCCTGAGGTAAGGGAGGGATGTATACACACCTGAGGTAAGGGAGGGGTATATGTATACATACCTGAGGTAAGGGATGGTATACATGTATACACACCCGAGGTAAGGGATGGTATACATGTATACACACCTGAGGTAAGGGATGGTATATGTGTACACACCTGAGGTAAGGGATGGTATACATGTATACACACCTGATGAAGGGATGGGTATATGTGCATATACCTGAGGTAAGGGATGGGTATATGTATACACACCTGAGGTAAGGGAGGGGTTTATATATACACACATGAGGTAAGGGATGGGTATATGTGTACAAACCTGAGGTAAGGGATGGTATACATGTAAACAAACCTGAGGTAAGGGATGGGTATATGTATACACACCTGAGTATGTGGACTAAGTTAATGATGTGGTATTGGTTCCTACAGGTATATCCCACCTCTATGAGAGCTATGTATGGGAGCTAAGTTAATGATGTGGTATTGGTACCTACAGGTATATCCCACCTCTATGAGAGCTATGTATGGGAACTAAGTTAATGATGTGGTATTGGTTCCTACAGGTATATCCCACCTCTATGAGAGCTATGTATGGGAACTAAGTTAATGATGTGGTATTGGTTCCTACAGGTATATCCCACCTCTATGAGAGCTATGTATGGGAACTAAGTTAATGATGTGGTATTGGTTCCTACAGGTATATCCCACCTCTATGAGAGCTATGTATGGGAACTAAGTTAATGATGTGGTATTGGTTCCTACAGGTATATCCCACCTCTATGAGAGCTATGTATGGGAACTAAGTTAATGATGTGGTATTGGTTCCTACAGGTATATCCCACCTCTATGAGAGCTATGTATGGGAACTAAGTTAATGATGTGGTATTGGTTCCTACAGGTATATCCCACCTCTATGAGAGCTATGTATGGGAACTAAGTTAATGATGTGGTATTGGTTCCTACAGGTATATCCCACCTCTATGAGAGCTATGTATGGGAACTAAGTTAATGATGTGGTATTGGTTCCTACAGGTATATCCCACCTCTATGAGAGCTATGTATGGGAACTAAGTTAATGATGTGGTATTGGTTCCTACAGGTATATCCCACCTCTATGAGAGCTATGTATGGGAACTAAGTTAATGATGTGGTATTGGTTCCTACAGGTATATCCCACCTCTATGAGAGCTATGTATGGGAACTAAGTTAATGATGTGGTATTGGTTCCTACAGGTATATCCCACCTCTATGAGAGCTATGTATGGGAACTAAGTTAATGATGTGGTATTGGTTCCTACAGGTATATCCCACCTCTATGAGAGCTATGTATGGGAACTAAGTTAATGATGTGGTATTGGTTCCTACAGGTATATCCCACCTCTATGAGAGCTATGTATGGGAACTAAGTTAATGATGTGGTATTGGTTCCTACAGGTATATCCCACCTCTATGAGAGCTATGTATGGGAACTAAGTTAATGATGTGGTATTGGTTCCTACAGGTATATCCCACCTCTATGAGAGCTATGTATGGGAACTAAGTTAATGATGTGGTATTGGTTCCTACAGGTATATCCCACCTCTATGAGAGCTATGTATGGGAACTAAGTTAATGATGTGGTATTGGTTCCTACAGGTATATCCCACCTCTATGAGAGCTATGTATGGGAACTAAGTTAATGATGTGGTATTGGTTCCTACAGGTATATCCCACCTCTATGAGAGCTATGTATGGGAACTAAGTTAATGATGTGGTATTGGTTCCTACAGGTATATCCCACCTCTATGAGAGCTATGTATGGGAACTAAGTTAATGATGTGGTATTGGTTCCTACAGGTATATCCCACCTCTATGAGAGCTATGTATGGGAACTAAGTTAATGATGTGGTATTGGTTCCTACAGGTATATCCCACCTCTATGAGAGCTATGTATGGGAACTAAGTTAATGATGTGGTATTGGTTCCTACAGGTATATCCCACCTCTATGAGAGCTATGTATGGGAACTAAGTTAATGATGTGGTATTGGTTCCTACAGGTATATCCCACCTCTATGAGAGCTATGTATGGGAACTAAGTTAATGATGTGGTATTGGTTCCTACAGGTATATCCCACCTCTATGAGAGCTATGTATGGGAACTAAGTTAATGATGTGGTATTGGTTCCTACAGGTATATCCCACCTCTATGAGAGCTATGTATGGGAACTAAGTTAATGATGTGGTATTGGTTCCTACAGGTATATCCCACCTCTATGAGAGCTATGTATGGGAACTAAGTTAATGATGTGGTATTGGTTCCTACAGGTATATCCCACCTCTATGAGAGCTATGTATGGGAACTAAGTTAATGATGTGGTATTGGTTCCTACAGGTATATCCCACCTCTATGAGAGCTATGTATGGGAACTAAGTTAATGATGTGGTATTGGTTCCTACAGGTATATCCCACCTCTATGAGAGCTATGTATGGGAACTAAGTTAATGATGTGGTATTGGTTCCTACAGGTATATCCCACCTCTATGAGAGCTATGTATGTGAACTAAGTTAATGATGTGGTATTGGTTACTACAGGTATATCCCACCTCTATGAGATCTATGTATGGGAACTAAGTTAATAATGTGGTATTGGTTTATACAGGTATATCCCACCTCTATGAGAGCTATAGGACTTGGTTGCTGTAGTGCTATGGCCAGAGTTGGGGCTATCATCACACCTTTTGTAGCACAGGTAAGTACACAGCATTTCAAACAAGAAAGTGTAAACTATTTAATAGCCATTCTTCGGAAGTAACTACCTAAAAACTTGTCCAAACATGTATTTGTTTAACTGCAGGTGTTGCTGAGGTCATCATCATACACAGCCATCTCAACGTACGGTGTGATAGCCCTGGTGGCCACCGGCGTTTGTTTATTGTTACCTATAGAAACCAAGGGGCGGGAGATGAAGGTAAGTCAAATACATTTTGTTACCCATAGCAACCAAGGGACAGGATATGAAGGTAAGTCAAATACATTTTGTTACCCATAGCAACCAAGGGACAGGATATGAAGGTAAGTCAAATACATTTTGTTACCCATAGCAACCAAGGGACAGGATATGAAGGTAAGTCAAATACATTTTGTTACCCATAGCAACCAAGGGACAGGATATGAAGATAAGTCAAATACATTTTGTTACCCATAGCAACCAAGGGACAGGATATGAAGATAAGTCAAATACATTTTGTTACGCATAGCAACCAAGGGACAGGATATGAAGGTATGCTAAATACATTATATGTTACCCATAGCAACCAAGTGACAGGATATGAAGATTACCAAGGCACAGGATATGAAGGTAAGTCAAATACATTTTGTTACCCATAGCAACCAAGGAACAGGATAAGAAGGTAAGTCAAATACATTGTGTTACCCATAGCAACCAAGGGACAGGATATGAAGGTTGTGTTGCCCATAGAAACCACAGGCAAATGGGAGGGAGGAATGAATTCAACAAGAGATCAGGTTACCAACAGAAACTGAAAGGCTGAAAATGAATGTATGTGTAATAAGTTGTGCTACCCAGACACCGAAGGGGAAGGGGGAATGTATAAAATATTAGAGGTAATATTACCATAGAACGATGGGGCAGGAAATGAAATTAAGCCAAAAACATTGCGTGTACCTATGGAAACCAAAGGGCTTGAGGTAAAGGTAAGTAGGATGTTATGTTACACCTGTCAACCTAAATAGGTACAATTTGAACAAGAGGTTGTGTTACCATAGAACCATGGTTCAGGAGATAAAATTAAGCAGAATAGGTTGGGTTACTCATAGAAACCAAAGGGCTTGGGATTAAGGTGACCATAAGTAGGTGGTTGTGTAATTAACTCAGGAAGCCTAAAGGGGTACGATTAATTTGAACAAGAGGTTATATTATATGTGGAAGTCAATCAATAGGAGATTGGTGGGTTGAATGTTAAATAAATATATGTGGTAACCATGGAAGCTTAGTGAAATCTAAAGCTAAGCAAACATTTGTTAATTTGGAATCATAACTATGCTACTATGCTGGAGCATTGAACAGCATTAGATCCAGTGTGGTAGTAGGCATGGGATCAGGTCTTGGTGTTTGGGGAACATTTTTGTCACACATCAAAAATACTTATATAGAATTCTTCTGATATTGGTTCTGCCTGCCCACATCATGGGATGAAAGCATTGATTATCTACGTTTTAGTGTTTGATATTTATATGTGAAATACAATAAACAACAGTTTGAAAGATATTTTCAGCAAGCCATCACAGTTCTTTATATATTTTTTATTTTTTTACAAAAACGTTGATTGCTTTGTTGTGTTGATTCCAGGACACCACCCATGAGGTTCACGACGCTCCTGCCAGATGAGGGATGTTGTGTGTATATATATAACAATTCTACACAAAACATCTGCCCTCCCTTCTCATCATACTGCCTTCATGTCAGAGCTGTAGATGTCTAGATGTCCCGTGAAAGGTACAACCTTTTTTCTGGATGTCACGTGACGTGTACAGCCTTTTGACAGGATGTCCTGTGAAGTACACAGCCTTTGTACCTGTACATTCAGTATAGAAGGTCGGGATGGCCGTAGTCCAATGTTGATGATGGCAGTTCAGCTTATACGACACAACAACTTCTCAAATAAGAATCTCACATGATTTTATTTTTGTTCTGTGATTATTTGTGAATATTGCCTCAGAGATTGAATAGAAAACCGTTTATGAATGGCTTATTATAATGTATGTGTATCTTATGATTGTGCTGTTAATGATTAGAATGTACAAATAGGATGGCTTAGGACAGGTTTCTTTTCTACCAGGACAAATCATTAAATCTGCTGATACCAATCTCTGTTCAGAAATGTTGACAAAATAACAGTCCTTCACCATGTTTTGTTGAGTCTCATGACTGATTTCTTTTGTACAAGCAAAGAAAATGCAACTTTGTGTAGATAGAGGGTTCCTTTTGCTTCCAAACACATTTTGTACATCTTAATCAATGATCATGGATTTTTATTTTTTTGTGGAAATAAGCATTCCGCTATATTTTCTTTAATTATACCTTTCCAAGTAGGTGTCTAAACAATTCAGGATAACCTATCAAGATTCAAACGGAATAATTTCCATTTGGAATTAAATCACAAACCTTACTTCTTCAATCTTAACATTTTGACATGGTATACATATCTAGAGCATTCACAATATAAAGTGGGGACAGACTACGATATGGCAGGTCGTGTACAACTCTTCCTGAAAGCGTCAATATCTTTTAATGAAAATTCAACTTAATCATAATACTTGTAGTTTAGTATGACAAAGAAAATTATTAGAGGCAATATCCTAAGAGTTAAAAGGGGAGATAGTCCCTTTTATATTTTGTTTATTAGTATGGTTATTGTTTTTGTCACTGTTGACAGGAAGTACTGGAAATAACATGAAGTGTTTTATTCACAATTTTACATGTAAATCAATATGTAGTATACAATGTACAGGGTGTGTAGCGTCATAGGATGATAGAGTGTGTATGTTACTGTGCTAGAGTGTGTAGGTTACTGTGCTAGAGTGTGTATGTTACTGTGCTAGAGTGTGTAGGTTACTGTGCTAGAGTGTGTAAGTTACTGTGCTAGAGTGTGTAGGTTACTGTGCTAGAGTGTGTAGGTTACTGTGCTAGAGTGTGTAGGTTACTGTGCTAGAGTGTGTAGGTTACTGTGCTAGAGTGTGTATGTTACTGTGCTAGAGTGTGTAGGTTACTGTGCTAGAGTGTGTATGTTACTGTGCTAGAGTGTGTAGGTTACTGTGCTAGAGTGTGTATGTTACTGTGCTAGAGTGTGTATGTTACTGTGCTAGAGTGTGTATGTTACTGTGCTAGAGTGTGTATGTTACTGTGCTAGAGTGAGTATGTTACTGTGCTAGAGTGTGTATGTTACTGTGCTAGAGTGTGTATGTTACTGTGCTAGAGTGTGTATGTTACTGTGCTAGAGTGAGTATGTTACTGTGCTAGAGTGTGTATGTTACTGTGCTACAGTGTGTAGGTTACTGTGCTAGAGTGAGTATGTTACTGTGCTAGAGTGAGTATGTTACTGTGCTAGAGTGTGTATGTTACTGTGCTAGAGTGAGTATGTTACTGTGCTAGAGTGTGTATGTTACTGTGCTAGAGTGAGTATGTTACTGTGCTAGAGTGTGTATGTTACTGTGCTAGAGTGAGTATGTTACTGTGCTAGAGTGTGTATGTTACTGTGCTAGAGTGAGTATGTTACTGTGCTAGAGTGTGTATGTTACTGTGCTAGAGTGAGTATGTTACTGTGCTAGAGTGAGTATGTTACTGTGTGAGAGTGTGTAGGTTACTGTGCTAGAGTGTGTATGTTACTGTGCTAGAGTGTGTAGGTTACTGTGCTAGAGTGTGTATGTTACTGTGCTAGAGTGAGTATGTTACTGTGCTAGAGTGTGTATGTTACTGTGCTAGAGTGAGTATGTTACTGTGCTAGAGTGTGTATGTTACTGTGCTAGAGTGAGTATGTTACTGTGCTAGAGTGTGTATGTTACTGTGCTAGAGTGAGTATGTTACTGTGCTAGAGTGAGTATGTTACTGTGCTAGAGTGTGTATGTTACTGTGCTAGAGTGAGTATGTTACTGTGCTAGAGTGTTTAGGTTACTGTGCTAGAGTGTGTATGTTACTGTGCTCATTATGTGCTGTGATTTCATAGATAGAAATATGGTCAACTTATATTATATGGTCTTTATTTATCATACTGACATGTTTTTCTCATTTCATTGGTGGAGGTATCTCGAGAGTAATTCAGTGTACCTCATATCTAAACTCCATCACAAGTTTACATATTTGTTTTATTTGCTGCAATACAATTCCATATACAAAATTTATAATTGAACACATTTATAAGTTTATATGTGTATTTCTCTTTTTCCCATGAAAAATCCTTATTGGGTTTTATTTATGTTTCAAATATCTGGTATAACTGTGGTATTCTTTATCGTTCATATTGTATTGTTTGAAAATATCTTTTACATGTATATGCCTTTGTTCTTTTTATGAATACATGTCTACTTGTGAGATTAAGAATCTTCAAAATAACCTCATCTACTTCTTTGACCAAGAATGTTCATGGTATTTGAATTATATATTTAGGTACTATCTTTGGTGTGCCATTACCGGTATCATTACAACATGTTTTTGTCCTCTTGACAGAGATTATAACAGGGTTAGGGAGGATTAAAACAATTCTTGTACCAGTATATTGTTTGACAATTATTTGCTGATAAATTATTTGTTAAAAAAATCTTTATACTGTGTGAAGTTACTGTGGACAAACATATCAGTGGCGATAATATTTTAGCAATTTCATTCCATTTAACAGTGCAACACTATGATAACTGTTAAATATAAAATCATAAAATTGATGCATGGTATAAATATTTATCAAACTTATTTATATAACTTCAAAATTTTACTTGAACTGTGAAAAATCTGGGTGCACCAATAGAAATTATATTTACAATAATTTGTTCCTGTCCTTGGACATTTTAGTTGAACCGAGAAAATCTGAGTGTAGCATAGAAATATGTTTACAATATATTGTTATTGTCTATGGTACCTTGTTGATGTGTAGTTATATTTAAATCTGTTGTAAATTAAGTAAACCATAACATAAATGGCTGTTGGTAATAACATGAAGAGATGTTTTTATTTCAAACAAATTATCAATATATTATTTTATTGTACAATAGATCATGTGTATATTTGTTTAAACAATTAATTTATTGACCATGTTGTATAGAATGTACCATATTTTGGAGTAGAATCTCAATATATGTATATGAATAAATATTTGAATCATGAACTAATACATAAATTGCAATATTAATCTACAGACTACATTATTTTGTAGCTGTATCTGAGATATTGAGAAAGCTTCATCAGGTACTATTTTAGGGAATTAAGATTTAAAAATTCAAAATATGAGGTTTACCATAATATCAATTTTTATATTTTGTGAATTATCTTTGTTTCAGGGTCGTTGTTTTTGTCCGAGTTATATAACAGTGTTTAGGGTATTACATATATACAAATCAAACAAGAGATAAATGTGCAATGTTGTGTGCGATATCGGCGGCGAACGAATTTGATCTCATTTGAAGCAGTCAAAATAGAAATGGCAATTTTGTCTCTTGGACAAAATATTGTTTTGTTTCTTTTTTTGAATCATTACACGGCTGTTTGTACACGAGGTTGGGGTTGTAATTTACCTTGTATACTTGGTTGATGGTGTAAATTTCGATGTACACTAGGTTTGTGGCATTCATTTTCATCTTTTTTAGTAAATTAAGTATGTGATATGAGGGTTGGTTTGTTTCTATTTATGTAGACATCAGTACATGTACTGCTTTATTTTGGCGAGATATCATTTTTTGTGTTTACTCACAAATTTAGATACCACATAATTATATAACCATGGCGATCCCATCGAGTCTGTCAAGTTTATTGCATACTCTAGTGTATTACTAGTGATTAAAACTTATTTAACTCATTCACCCCTGAAATTTCATAATGAACCATTTCACCCTTTGAATTGGAAGAGTTCAAATGTGTCTTCAGGGGTGAATGAGTTAAGAGGAAACATCACCAGTAAATGTTTTGTTTGCGAGGTCTAAGCAATGCACAATATATCATAACATGTTTAGCAAATTTTCACTTTACTTTTCAAAGACATTTTAGCATTCACAAATAATTTCAGAAGTGATTAGTATTATAAACATTCCATTTTTTTTAATTTATAGTTATCTTCTCTTATCTTTTCCATTACTCTTGATGTTCTATGAATATGTTAAGCTTATATTTCTAGTGACTATGGTTGACTTGTTATCCAACATTCCAGGTAATATTCCATACTTGTTTAACAGGTGATATTATATTTAAGTGATATTGTTTTGTTCAGTCTTTTTGACTTTATTCTTAAGTTTTTTTTTAGAGTTTAATTTACATATTTGATTACATCATTTTCCTCAGTAATGCTTTGCTACTTGTATATTTTTTTTCTCTCTCACATTTATTGAATAAAATAATAATTTCATTGGTCATATTAAATTCCAATCCTATATGTCAAAATGTCATTTATATCTTTAAAATGCTGGTCATAAAACTACAACAACCCATCATTGTTTAGTTGGTGTACTGCTTGTTGACAGACATACGAGATCTGCTTGATCCATACAGTTTATACATGTCATCAAGTGTGTAAATGTCTTTAGAAGTTTTCACGTCTGAGGGGTGTACAACTGTACACCTCATTAAATGTGTTACCTCGTTTAACCCTTTCACCCCTATGTAACTTTAGTAGACTCGACCATGTATTGCTATGGAGGGGTCCATTATGGTCTACAGTCGTGAAAGGGTAAAAAGGTGACATAATGATTATGATACAAATTACTTTTGATCCTACGATTATTTGATGTATTTTGACTCAATTTACTGTTGGTCCTGATTTTGATCAAAGATAACTAAATTTGTTGTTGTCTCAGATTTTGTTCAGGGTCTCCAGGACCTTTCAACTCTTGAGAGTGAGTGACCTACATCATGTATCAACTTTTAAGAGCGAGTTTGAAAGAGTGAACTTGTGAAAATATGTTGGGATAACCTATTGCCGTAGAGATGGGGCTTATTATTAAAATGATTTCATGTAGAATTTGGTAAAAAAATTAAAAATGCATTAAATGAAAATAACACATGAGCTGGTTCCATTTCAACATAGACAGAAAGCCTACCTTATTTACAACATGTGAATGCTTCTGATTGTGAAAAAATCTATACTTGTGCTACTAATATATGTAAAAACCATCACATTTTTTGCAAAGCATGACATATTGGAGTCTTGGAAGTTGATACACACTTCAAAATGGAGTAAAATATCTGGGTGCTGGTGTTCAGATACATGTATCTCCTTAATTGTTAATTTTGACATAATTTTGTGGTATGATCAGAAATATGTAAAACTATTTATAGATTTCAGAAATATAGTTGTGATGATTTATTTAAATAAAATTCGCAACATCAGCAATGGGTGTGACATGTGAAAGATCCCTGTCCCACTACACTGTCTTTTTTCGTATAAATATATACAGTTACCTCCTCTTAGTTTCGTTTTAATATAACTGTAGCACCGTTAGTTGTGCCAGGACACTTCCGTTGACCAGGTATCTCAATCAGCTTGAAGTCCAGGGTTTGAATCCCTGTCTAGCCAAAATGCATTTTACTCTGACAGAGCACTCACATTTATTATAGTTAATTTTATCTTTATCATTGTTCTTAAAACTCTTCTCTTAAGATATGGTTTTCTTTTCAAAAATTATTTATCACAGCTTTAGTTGTGATGGGAAAAACAGTTTACAATGCAGTTAGAGTTTTTGGCAGTGGTACAGGGATCCTTAACGGTGTGCCGTTGATCGGCTTTTCCAGTGAGATCATGTGTGTGGGAGTGCCAACAGTGTTAGTGTGAACACACATGTTACTGGTAGTGTAGGAGTACGTATTTGTGGACGTTGGAAAGATGATGGTTGTCACATGTTAGATGTGAGAATATATTTTGTTGTACAATATTCAAGTCTATATTCACCTTTCCTGCTGACAAACAAGTATTTCAAACACAATAAACCAAATTTACCTTACCTGAAGAAGATTAGTGTCACAAGTCTTCAGAATATCAGAATAAATAATCACAAGGGGTGAAATTCAAATAATTGAAAATATTATGTTGTAACATAGGTAAACACCACTGCCAGATCACTGTGATCTTTGATAACTAAAACTTGCATGCTTTAATTTGTGTTTGGATAACAATTACATTTAATTAAATCTGAAGGCTGCATGTACATTGCAATTTTACTGCAAATTGAAGTAAATGTAGCAAAATATCTAGACACTTCCTAAAAACCATTCCGCAACCAAGTAACTGTAGAGTACTATTTATAGCTTATATTTATGTTGTTATCGTAATTGTTTCAGTGTAAATCTATGTTATCCAAATGTTTGTTTGAGTGTATGAATTCCGTTAATAAAATATTTGTTTTGTGTTTGTGTTGATTCGACTTGTAAACTACATTGTACATCTTGAACTCTCGTTAAACTCTTGAATGCTGGATGTACTGTGAGGAAAATTCCACAATAAAATTGTGCATAGCTTCCTTAACAGTATTTGTGATTTATTCATACCTGTATGAATCCACGATATTTCCCATGTAGAGATTGGAAATTGAAGCAAGTTTGCTTGCTAGGTGAAACTTTGTCTGGAGGGTCTAAACTGTATTGTTACACCTCAAGTGAATTTCTAGCTATTTGATTGGTTGGGAGAAAGTTAAACAAAAATCTCTGTCACACTCCAAAAATACATTGGTTTTAAGGAACGCGGGTGATATTGCCATGAGACAGTGAAAAATATTGCATGCGCGAAAAATGTGCGTTCACCGCTTCGTTTCCCCACCTGATGGTCACAAGAACGTTTGACAGCAACAGCCAATTTTATCAAGTGCCGGTGCGATAGCGATTGTAAACAGCAGACTATCAACAAACAAGATGTCATTATCGAGGTTTGCTGCCGTTTCTGAGCTACAAAGACTTTTGGTGTAACAAAATAGATATGACATTCATTAGCAGGTGACAGTATATAAATATGACATTCATTAGCAGGTGACAGTGAATATTGTCAACCCGAGAAAACCATTGTCACCCAAGGCGAATATTTATATCGTGTTCACCAACAAATCTTTGTCTGGAGGGCCTAGACTGTAGTGTTCACCAACAAATCTTTTGAAGAAATGTGTACATCCATTTGATTATCACATGAATGTATTATACCAGTGATTCTTTGTGACACCAAAGTGATACACGACTGAAGTACATGTATTGGTAAACAGATTGTAATGTATGCTCTTTTGGAAATAACCACCAATAACATTTATATATAATAAAGTTATATGTAGTTTTGTCTACTTTATAGAGCAACATTTTGATCAGATGTGCACAGATCAAGAAGTCATCAAAAAAGACATTATTTGAGCTTAAACAACTTTATTACACCATTTTTCTTTTCATTGTAATACAGAAAGAAAAATTTACGTTTTTCAATATCTCACAAAATATTCTCATATGACACAGCATTCATCCTTCTCACTCCCACACTTTATACACAAAAATGACTTTTACACAAAAAAAACATGATTTTCATAACTCTAAATGACCTCAACAGCTACAATTTTGGTTTGGAGTCAAACAAATCTGCTGCTAAATTGTCTATTTCCATGTCATCCATTTTGTTATCTTTAGAGCCTGCTGACTGTTTTTCTCTGGTAATGGTCAATTCTCCAAACACTTCCTCAGCTGTGTATGATGGCTTTCTTGATGGCTGATAAACAAGAAACCGTAGAATGAGATATTTTGTTTGTAAAAGTATCATGTCTCCACACGTACATACATGTATTACTAAAATAGGGTCAGAGTTCTTGTATCCCTACCAAAGGATTTTCGACCTTGGCAAAAAACGCTTGACATGTAGGCATTGCCTGCTTAAAATTATTGTCTCGAAAAATCTATTTGAGCCTTAATATTAGAAATAGGCTAAGAAACAAAAATGCTATCAACACTTTTGACATTATAGTTGTAAAAAAGATTGTACAAATCACTGACAGTAAATCTTACATGTTCCGTTCCCTTGTAAATCTGTGTAACTTTCTCTCGTTCCTGCCAAGTGGTCAGTTTTATTCCGTCATCTTTTAATGCTTCAACTGTAGCAGCGAAAAGATCAGGATTGTTGCGGTCATTTTCCCTCAACTCAAAGTATTTGTCGATAAACCTGTAGAAACAAAACTAGAATCAATACATACATCACCAAAAAGAGGCTTGGTGGGCCTTTACAGCTCACCTTGGTATTTAACCGATCATGACCAACAATTTTCATAAAAGAAATTCAGTGTATTTCAATTAAGTCTCTAGGGGGTAGGCCAGACCCTATGCTAATTCTGGTCGCAGGATTGTGTTAATCTTTTCATGCTAAGCAAGCACATATTTTTTTACGATTGGGATCTCCACCTTTTCCCTGTCATTACCCTGGAGAAGGGTGTCCGTTAGTTTACCCTGGTAGCATGACTAAATCTGTCTCTTTATGCCCATTATTTGTATATGGCCCTGCCCCCATCGCCTGGAGATCAGCCTGTTTGTGCATTTTTGAATCATAAACCCCTTGAGTATGCTTCCAACTTGTTTTCAAGTTGCTGCCTTAGAGCTAAACATCCAGTCGAATTTGGTGAAATTCTAATCAGTGGTTCAGAAAAAGGAGTCAGAGGATCGAAGACTGGTACAATGGTACAGCACAAGCCCACCTTGGTCCTTTGAACCAGGTGAGCTAAAAGGCATTCTATATCATTTGTTTGTTTTCCCTCAGAATTTGTCCTAAATAATTATGGTATATGATGGTTAGAAGTATTATGTTTCCCCCCTTTTTTCCTTGTCGTCCAATTGGGCATTAACTGCCGAAATTACTGAGATTGCTGTGTCAAAAATAATGGTCGCAAATACTATTACAGAGAGGCACCAACATTTATTTCACTATAAACTGACACAACAATAAATATTTCTTACACATCATGGTGAGAACTTACTTCTGTGATGTAGTCGTTTCCTGTTCATTTCTTAAGTCTACGAGATCAGTGTCATAGATTTCCTTGAAGTATTTCCTACAAGATACAAGATACAAACAAGATACAAGATGCAAGAAACTTTATTTAACGTCGCATACAGGTAAACAAGGAACATTAGCTCTTGAGAGCTATTCTTGCGACAAACATATGTAAAAATAACAATAACATATTATATTACAAGTAAAGGGAGATAATCACATATATTAATAATAAAACAGTAATAATCATCACAGAAAAAGGAGGTATACATATCTCAGGTTTCTAAGTGATTGGGAGTCCCCTGCCTACAAAGGCCCCCGGGATGTATATATAAAAATGGTGTTAATATATGAATGCATTAAATGTGATCACAGATAAGTAGTATTCAGAATAGGTAAATAAAAGACATAGTTAATAGTGAATGAATACTTGTATATCACACAAGAATTACTTAGGACTTAGGATTAAAACAATATGAAGTGGAATATACATACAATGCTAATATAGCATAGAATAAAAATTGACAGAATATACACCATTATAGTGTGAATTAAAAATGATACCGAAATCAATGAACAAAATTTATCAAGTTTTGTAAAAATTAATATTTTAGATAAAATAATTTCAACAGAAAATTAACTTAAATCATCCGAGCAGAAATGAGCAACCTTGACAGCTAAGCTGGTGATGGTAGACAGTTCATACTGCCAGCTCTCCCTATTTAGGAGGCATACTCGTGATATTGGACTCTTAAATTTAGTATTCTTAACCAGTGAAAATGACTAAACTATTCCTTTATTCTAAGACCGATTGATTTCATCTGAAAATATGTTATTTTCAAGGTTTATTTTGTCCCTAGGGGTTATATATACACATTATATTTATGTTTTAATTTTGAGCATGTAGAATCTTCCCCATGGAAATTACAAAAGGTTGTTAAGTATGCAAATTGTTATGGAAAATTAACACCACTCTTTTTTAAACATGACTGTAAAATTGTGTTCATACTGCAATAAACAAACATGTATTAAAATCATAACGGCTTCACACACTGGTTAGTGTGACAAAAAAATAATTTATACTGGACATATCATTTGTCCTTAAAGATTAATGCTTATAATCAATTCATTGATACTGATAAAATCTTTTGAAGTAGAATATGATTTAATCATTTCGACATTTAATATACTAACGCTCGGATCAAGTCCTCTGGATACAGAATGTTGCGTACAACTTTGGTGGGAACAGGTCTTTTATACAATGGCTCAACTTTTGGGGGAAAGGCTGCATACACATCATACCACAATGGCTTTTCAGACTCAGGTAATCCTCCAGCACCCATTAATCGTTGGCACCTGTGATGATAGATTGATTTAATAGCGGGCACTCACGGCCGATCGCTTACGGCCGATCGCTTATGGCAACACATGTACTGAAAGTATGGGCACATGAGAGTGAATTGGTTCTATGCTTTATGAAGACTTCAAAAACTTTTGTCCTTCCGGTCGTACAGGCTCGCAAAAAACAGCAACATGCATTGCTCTGTGCCTGCATTGATGTTCTTTTTTTTGCACAAACAATTTATATTACTTTTGTAATGAATACCTTGTGTTTTTGTCTTATTTCCAGCATATTTTTATGTTCAGAAACAATTCTACATTTTTTTACAAGAGTATGTTACTGATAAAATCCATTGATCTCCTACATATTATTTTGATATTTTCATTTTTCTCGAACTGAAAATTGTTTCCATGTTGTACATGTGCTTGGTTATCTGTCTTTAGCTTCAAAATAGCATCAGTTGATACTGATAAGTATGTATATATATATACCAGGCATGACATTTAATTTTTCAAAAAGCACAAAGAGATATTTTTTCTTCTGAATTTTCATCTCGGAATATTGTCATAGTTTTACGTTACCTGATTTTTAAGAATATGGTTTATATTTTAACTAAAGGCACATTTTGCTGTGCCATCTGCTTCTTCACCTTACCAATTTATTTTAGAGAAAAATATAGAGTAAATTCTTGTACAGTAATTGTGTGTATATATGTTTTTGTAATATGATCACTATTAGCATCAGAATAATCGAATGAAAAACAGTGGAAATGCAGCATGAAATAAACAGTAAAGTATAATTATGGATAGGAAGATATTTCAGCTTATAACTGACATGTGCAAGTATAATTACAAGTAGTTTCAAGAAGAACACCAAATTAAGGCCTTGGTAAAAATTCTTTTTTATAAATGCATTCATTATTGGATATTTGATTGTTCTTCAATTAACAATTCCTCTGTACTTTCGTGTCTTTGAATGTTTTTTGTCTTTTAAAACCGGAGAAAAGGCAGAAACTCTTCAAAATGTACTGCGTAATGTTATCATTATCCTAATTGTATATTTACATATAAAATATCACTGTTAAAATCAACATCAATTCTGAAGTAAGACCTTTGATTCTTAAGAATGCATGTATTGACAAACACTAGTCTAAAAAATTGTGTAAATCAACATTTTTATTTTCGTTCTTATACTCATATCAGTACTTTACAGTACCATCTGAAGAAAACAAACAAATAAGACTGATTTCTTGAGGCAATCCAACAGATCAATAAAAATGTTTTTGACATTGCTAGCTATTAACAAGTGTTGATAGATCAATTAAAACTCTGAGATGTCCATCATGCACGATCTTTGATTATTCAAAAGCCATTCATTTTGTTGTTCAGATCATATAAGGAAAGAAAGAGATAAGCTATATCGGTCTTGTAATCCTCTGCTGACTGTCTTCATTACAATTGTTATGACTGCCCAGCATGAAACGTCATGATCACTTTTTAACAGGGTGATTTACAAATCAGAATGGGCCTGCATCGCTCACCTGGTATTAATTTCACACTTGTAATCTTAAATGTGGACCAAAATACAGCAACAGGCAGAATATCAGTGATTGATTCATAAGAACCTATTAAAAGATTTAAACATATGACGCCTGTGACCTTGAATGTCGAACGAGGACATTAGGTTGAAAGTGGGTCAAAAACATTCATTTGAGCAAACTTGGTAGCCCTTCATCCCAGCATGCTACAGGTCCAATTTCAGTATCCTGGGCCTTTTGGTTATTGAGAAGAAGTTGTTTGAAGATTTTAAGACATTTTACCCCTGTGACCTTCGAAGTGAGTCAAGGTCATTCATTTGGACAAACTTGGCAGTCTTTCATCCCAGCATGCTACAGGCCCAATATCAATACCCTGCGCCTTTTGGTTATTGAGAAGAAGTCATTTGAAGATTTTAAGACAATTGACCCCTGTGACCTTGAAAGTGGGTCAAAGGTAATTCATTTGAACAAACTTGGTAGCCCTTTACCCCAGCATGCTACAGGCCCAAAATCAGTACCCTGGGCCTTTTGGTTATTCAGAAGAAGTCGTTTAAAGATTTTAAGACATTTGACCCCTTCATACCAGTATGCTACTGGCCAAATATCATCAGTATGGGCCTCTTGGTTATTGAGAAGAAGTTGTTTAAATTAAAAAGTTGACGCCGGCCGAATGACGGACGTCGCACCATGCCATAAGCTCACTTGGCCCTTTGAGCCAGGTGAGCTAAAAATGAGTAATAACAGATACAAAAATATATATATGAAATTTGTTTGTTTACAGGTTTGCATCAGTGCAACAGCTAAGAAAAGGAAGTCAAAGGGAAAAAAATAGATAGAAGTATAAAATATCCCAATATGGACGGTAGATAGATTTTTGTTATTTATATATCCCTATGCAGATGATATCTAGATAAGTGAAAATATTAGAGAATAAAACTAAACCTAGTAGTTGCGTGCCCCTGTGGTTTAAGGGTCAACAGTACCCGGTATGTCAGCAGACCTCTGATAAAGGTCACACGGATTGCATACTAACATATACTTGCCTTTGGAAAATAGATCTTATTCTCTCTGTCCTGCTACCTGCCATGATAGCTGTTTTAGTTTTATTCTCTGAAAGTCATTTGGATAGAAAGCATGTTTCCCATTGCTATTGACTGTCACACAAACGCTTGTTTGTAGAGTTGAGTTTACCGAAGCATTGCAATAACGTCGATTCGGACGCAGTGATCTCGCATGAATGAATTACGAGACTTTAGAACGAGAACTACAATTAACATCCGGTCGATCCTGGCAGGTGGGTGAGAAAAAAATGTATCTCAAAAACTATTTTCTACAATGATTGAAGGTAATTTTACGTTTTTATACAAATGATACATGAGTGTATTTAATACATGATATATTTTAAAGGTCTTGTTTTATATAACGTCACTGTTGCGCAGTGAGCGGTTGTAGGTCGGAATTGTTGCGATGCTGCTCATCCCCGATTCCCTCTATACAACATTTCGACTCGGTATAAACTACATAGCTGTCAACTGAGTCACTCTCTGTCGGTGGCTTCTAATGAGTGCGAACTTTTGACGCTCATTAACAGAATACATCAACTGCTGGCACAAACACTCGTCATCCGCCAGATTCAGTGTGTTTTAGACTGCCGACTACCACTGGATCAGACTGGGCAAATTCCGTCATTGTTTACATCAACTTACCTTGTAACTGAAGTTATTTAGGTTTGCTTTCCATTGTTTTGTATTTACTCTCTTCATTTGTGACTTTTAATGATTCTTGCATTAATGTAAAAATAATACAACATATCCTTGTATTAAAGGTAAGTAAGAGCTGAATAAAATGTTGTTTATATTAAAAAAAATGTATTGCAAAGAACCGAAATCAGTGATGCATTTAATTTTGAAAATTATTAAGTTGAAGAGTTGATTGAGATTAAGATCAGAAACTTGTTTAGGGTTCCACATACCTACCATAGAATGTTAAGACTTAAAATGCTGTCAGACCATTACTTTCTTTTTAGATTTGTGGCAGTTATAAATTATAATTTTAAAGAAAACATTTTTACGTGTTATGATCAAAAGATAAATCTGTCATAATTGACTTTAGAGAGTAAAGGACTTTAAAGCAATTTCTTACCATTAAAAGTATAAACAATGTCAGAATATGATTATGAAATATATTAAAAAAACCACCAAGTAACTATATAAAAACTCTATTTTCAATGATATGGTAATCTGAATTTCCAGATTGTCTTTTATGATTAAATCATTAAAGACAATCTGGAAATTAATTCAGTTTGTTGATCAAGTATAGGTATATATATACAAGTTACACAAGAAACATTTACCCTTTTGTAAAATTGATTAAGGCTACATTCACGTTACCGGTTGAAACGGTACGTGTGGCGCAGAAATTTTCCACGATAAACGAACACACTTGGACCGTTCTATAAGCAGAGCTAGAAATGCACAGTTTCGGAGAATAAAAAGCAATGTATCAAGAATATAATGCCCTTCTCTCACGCGTCCACTAAATTACATATCGTATCTTAAAAACTACATGTGGCTTGACATTGTTTTAGAAAGAAATAACGCAAACTAGCAATATTCAGCAGTTTAGTTTCGGTCAGGTACGTCTGGACCCCTCAATCTACACGTACCAAATTTTCTTGAGGTCAGCCTCGGTCCAAATCTGTACCTGTCGTTTTCTTTACAGTTTCAACCGGATACGCGAATGTACCCTAAGTCTTTAAGTTTGTTTTTCTTTTAAGTTGTTGTAACTATGAGTCTGTATATAGCCTTATAGTAATTTACTAAATGCTAAAATAAAAGGAAATGAAATATAATATGCATATTTATTTAATTTGCATAATTTACATCTTCTCCTTCAATTACAGTACTTTTACCACGATAAGTACTTTTGTGTCTGCTCGTGATGTAAGCTCAGGAACGCCTGTAGAGTTAAATTAAAATTTACATTGAATTGCATGTATATGCTTAGTGATTATAAAAAGTATTGATTCTTTGGTATTTATGATTTAGCTTAAAATGTGAATTATCAGAAAACATTTTTACGTGTTATGATCAAAAGATAAATCTGTCGTAATTGACTTTAGAGAGTAAAGAACTTTAAAGCAATTTCTTACCATTAAAAGTATAAACAATGTCAGAATATGATTCCATCTGTACTATGATCTTACACTAATAGTGACTTTTGCAGAATTTTTTGAAGCAAGTCCTGAACAACTTTTTATACGACCGTCAAATTTGATGGTAGTATTATGGTATGGCATTGTCCGTCCGTCTGGCGTTAACTTTGTTTGTCCGGAAATCTTCTCCTACATTTTTCAACGGATCTCTTTGAAACTTGGTATACTTTATAATCATGATATGAGGTTGTGTCTCCCTTAAAAGAATTTTGATTTAACAATTTTTCCAAAAGTTATTGCCCTTTGTTCATTTCAGTATTTGATTTTTTGTCCGGCAATCTCCTCCGACATTTTCCAACATATCTCTTTGAAACTTGGTATACTTTATAATAATGATATGAAGTTGTATCTCCCTTAAAAGAATTTTGTTTCGACAATTTTTGCAAAAGTTATTGCCTTTTGTTCATTTCAGTATTTGATTTTTCCAATCACTTTCCGTCCGTCGTCGTCCGTCGTTTGTCGTGCGTCGTCCGTCGTGCGTAAACTTTTACATTATCAACTTCTTCTCAAGAACCAGTGGATGGAATTTTTTCAAACTTGGTCAGAATCATCCTTGGTAGATGAGGCTACCAAATTGTAAAATTGGGATTCCTACCCCAACCCTAGGGGCCAGGGCAGGGCCCAAAAGGGAAAATTAACCAATATTTCAAAAATCTTCTTCTCCAGACTCAGAGGTATTACAGTCATTTTCTCTGCATGGATGGAAAGATCATCAGGGGCTTTATTTAAATTGTAAATTTCAGGACCCC